AGTGGCTGCTCCCGGCCACTGCAGCCTCGACCTGCTGGGCTCTGGTGATCCTTCCGCCTCAGCCTTCCAAGTAGCTGGAACTACAGGTGTGCACTACCATGCCCTGCTAATTTTTTTATTTATTGTAGACATGAGGTCTCGCCAAGTTGCCCAGGCGGGTCTTGAACCCACGGCCTCAGGCAATCCACTCACCTCAGCCTTCCAAAGCGTGGGATTACAGGCTGAGCCACCAAGCCCGGCTCGAAATATTTTTTAGAAAGGTTGCACTTGGAACCAATTTGTTAATATCAGATCTTGATTTAAATAGGTTTTGCCCAATTCTGAGCAAGGGTGAGATCAACACAGCTGTAATAGTATGCTGATATTATAGAAAGTCAAAACCAAAGGAACCTTAGATAACCATTTAAATCAGACTCTTTATTTTGGCTGCTGAAGAAACCAAACCTGCCCTAGAGAAGTGAAGCAATTTACTGAAGGGTATTCTAAGGAAATTCTTACAAGTTTCCCATTTTGCTGCACATTCCCTATGGATTACATTTCACTTATAAACACAAATTACTCCCTGGACACTTGGAAACCATACTGTAGATAGTCCACTGGGATTACTTCCTGATATCTAGATTGCTGGGAGATAATTAGATGTTTCTCTAGAGGGACAGATGCAGTCTTATTAGGAAGGAGTTTTGATCGACTACCTAGTTTAATCTGTAGAATTTAGGTAGGGAGACAGAGACTTTTATTCAGAAGGGTGGCAGGAACAATCACCTAAAGATTACTCTTTAGAACTTTGTGTCTGCACATCCTTTAAATTCTGTATTCTCAACTTTTCCTGTGCATAATTGGGTAGTTAAATACCAATGACTGTCACTAATCATACGGGAAATGCAAATCAAACCTGTAATGAGATACCATCTCATACCTGTTAGGGTGGCTACCATCAGAAAAATTGGAACTCTGCACTGTTGGAAATGTAAAACGGTGTAGCCACTGTGGAAAACAGTGTGGGGTTTCCTCAAAAAATTAAAAATAACTGCCGGGCTCGGTGGCTCAGCCTGTAATCCCGCGCCTTTGGGAGGCTGAGGTGAGTGGATTGCCTGAGCCCGCGGGTTCGAGACCCGCCTGGGGCAGCGAGACCTCATCTCTACAATAAATCAAAAAATTAGCCAGGCGTGGTAGCGCATGCCTGTAATTCCGGCTACTGGGAAGGCTAAGGAGGAAGGATCGCTGGAGCCCAGCAGGTCGAGGCTGCGGTGGCCGGGAGCGGCCACTGCACTCCAGTCTGGGCGACAGAGTGAGACTCCAACTCAAAAAAAAAAAGAAAAAATTAAAAATAGAATCACTATATGATCCAGCAATTCCACTTCTGGGTATATATCCAAAAGAGTTGAAAACAGATTCTCAGAGATATTTTTACACCCACATTCATACCATTATTCACAATAGCCAAAAGGTGAAAGCAACCCAAGTTCCCATCAACAGATGAATGGATAAACAACAAGTGATATACACATACAATGGAACATTATTCAGCCTTAAAAAGGAAGGAAGTTCATGCTACAACTAGATGAACTTTGAGGACATGATAGTAAGTGCAATAAGCCAGTCACAAAAAGAAATACCATGTTACTGTGTGATTCCACTTAGAAGAGTTATTGAGAGTAGTGAAATTCATAGAGACAAAGTAGAATGGTGATTGCCAGGGGCTGGGGAGAAGGATTAGAGAGTTGTTTAATGCGTATAGAGTTTCAGTTTTGCAAGATGAAAAGAGTTCTGGAAATTGGCTGTACAACAATGTGAATGCACATTACTGAGCTATACACTTAAAAATGGTTAGGTGGAGCCGGGCTCGGTGGCTCAGCCTGTAATCCCAGCACTTTGGGAGGCTAAGGTGAGTGGATTGCATGAGCCTGCGTGTTCGAGACCCGCCTGGGCAACTTGGAGAGACCTCATCTCTACAATAAATCAAAAAATT